ATAGATGTAGATCTTGAGCACTCAACACAAACACTCTTGCTTTCAGAGTTTGGTGTATTTACACAGAAGCCTGAAGAGATTTTGAGTCAAACGTTCAATCGTTACAATCATCTTTTAAGTAGGATGACGAAACATGGTATTGGACGTGAAGTTATTGAACAAAAGGTCACGTTCATGAATGGGCTTAGATCTGAGTGGATAGCGGTGGTGTCAACAGTCAAGGCATATAAGCAGTTCAAGAATTATACTTTGGCAAAGCATGTTGGAATCCTGAAGTCACATGAGAATGAGGTGACAAAAGAAGCGAAAGTTGTGTCTAGTATGGGTTCTCTGGCTCTCGTTGCGAAGGGAAAGAAAGTAGCAGAAGATGGTTCAGAATCTCATCTTTCTGATTGTGAGCTTACGAATGAAGAGTTTGCATTAGAGGCGTCAAACCCGAAGCGATTTACAAAGAAGAAGTTCCCTTCCACAAGAACCGAAACTGGCAAGGAAGCTATAGCTCTGAGAAAGTAAAAGAGGAAAGTGCGAATAGCTCACAAAAGGAAGAGGAAAAGAAGGAGAAGAAGCTAACGGGTGACTCTGGCTATGATTATAACTACTGTCAAGGCAAAAATCACTTGGCCAAAGAGTGCAAGCTGTGAAGATTGAATGAAAAGAAGGAAGGAGAAGACGATGAAACCTACCATCTCCGAAAGCTTGAGGAGATAAATAAGAAAAAGAACTCTGATAATTCAATGCTTGCTTTAATTGTGCAGGGAAAAGAAGCTGATGATGAATTTGGCAGGGTGGAAGTCTTGTTCAGGGATTCAGAAGATGAGGAGGTTCGCAGGCCAACTCATGGGAGAAGCTCCGTTGCGAAAGAAGAAGATTCGCATTCAAGAGGAAGATGGTTCATGGTAATAAGTGATGTGTCACAGATGCGAGCATATGCCACGGATAGTGGACATGGGAGTGATAGTTTCTTCGCTACGAAACCAGTTTTTGAGCAAATCAGCGAATGCGATCAAATGATCAACAAGGTACACTCTATTCTTGAATCACTCAATATACCTGTGTCCAGATACGAAACTTATCTAAATGAGCTAAAATTCACTTTTTCAAGTATCAGTAATAGTTTAAAACAAACTCGCTTGACAAATTCTAACCTAACCGATCAAATCAGCAGGGTTTCGTCAAAGAAGGAGGAGAGACGCATATGGATAGAGAAGATTGAGTCTAATTTAGCCAAGTCTAGGGATGGGTTAATTTATTTACAACGAGACAATTTAATGCTTTTGAAACAATGTAATATTTTTTGTTTGATTGAGAAAAGGCTTTATCATAACATTACTCAATTGCATCTTGATTGTAGTATAAGTTATTTTAAGTTACTTATTTGAAAACTTTTAACGATTATAAAAATATCTTTACGAAATATTTTAGTTAAATTGAGATTACAATTTAGTTTTTGCATTTAACATTACAATTTATCACTTTTAACTATTCACAAAATATTCTTTCGCTTTTTTAAATGGAACTGAAATTTATATTTAAGTTGACACTGTAATGTTATATTTAAATTAACAGTTTAAGTATTTTGTCCAAACTGTTCAAAAGTTGTAGCTTTAAACTATAATGGTTTACATACAACAACATATTAAATCTAATAAATTAAGTATAATATGTTAAAAGTTAAAGATATAACTTTATAAGTAGAAGTAAATATATTATTTTAATATTAAAATTAGTTTATTTATGATTACACTTTAGGTTTGATATTTATTTAACCTTATTAACCAACTTATAATCATTATTAGAAAGACACTACAACTTATCACTTTTAACTATTTACAAAATATTCTTTGGGTTGTTTAAGTTAAACTAAAATTTATGTTTAAGTTGATCCTGTAATGTTATATTTAAATTTATAATTTAAGTATTTTATAGAAATTGTTCAAAAGTTATAGCTTTAAAATGATAATGGTTTACATCCAACAATATATTAAAACTAATAAATTAAGTATAATATGTTAAAAGTTAAAAAACATAACTTTATAAGTAGAAGTAAAGATATTCTTTTAATATTGAAATTTAGTTTATATATGATTACACTTTAGGTTTGATATTTATTTAATCTTATTAACCAACTTATAATTATTATTAGAAAGAAATTGAAAAGTCATGGGAGTTTCAAATGAATATGCTGAAAGGAAAAATGCATGGGAGTTACAAATGAATGTGGTGAAAAGAAAAATGTTTCCTTTATAAATATACTAGGCGAATGTTCGCGCGTTGCGCAGAAACACCTAATAGTTGAAATCTTTACAAATATATGTTTTTTTAAATATAACAATAAGGTTGTTATTAAATTTGATATAATAATTCGTATACTAAATTGATATAATATATTGGTTATTTTAAATTATATGATAATTTATACATCTATTATAATTATATAATCTCAACCGTTTGAATGACTTCTATCCGCGAGTTACTCATGAATAAAATTAAATATAATATATGGCTTAATGTTATTTATAGTTTTTGTTATTTTTAATTTTTTTTAAAATTTTTTTTTTAACGTTTTAATTTCTATCATTATAATTATTTAAAACATCAGACATTGTTTTTTTATTTTAAAGGTAACTATATAAGCATTTACATAGAGTTGTTTTTAACTATTGTTATTGTAAGTTATTTTAAGCTACTTATTTGAAAACTTTTAACGATTATACAAATATCTTTAGGAAATATTTTAGTTAAGTTGATATTATAATTTAGTTTTTGCATTTAGCACTACAATTTATCACTTTTAACTATTCACAAAATATTCATTGGATTTTTTAAATGGAACTGAAATTTATATTTAAGTTGACACTGTAATGTTATATTTAAATTAACAGTTTAAGTATTTCGTACAAACTGTTCCAAAGTTGTAGCTTTAAATTGATAATGGTTTACATTCAACAATATATTAAATCTAATAAATTAAGTATAATATGTTAAAAGTTAAAGACATAACTTTATAAGTAGAAGTAAATATATTATTTTAATATTGAAATTTAGTTTATTTATGATTACACTTTAGGTTTGATATTTATTTAACATTATTAACCAAATTATAATCATTATTAGAAAGACACTACAATTTATCACTTTTAACTATTTACAAAATATTATTTGGGTTGTTTAAGTTAAAATAAAATTTATATTTAAGTATGTCCTGTAATGTTATATTTAAGTTTATAATTTAAATATTTTATACAAATTGTTCAAAAGTTGTAGCTTTAAAATGATAATGGTTTACATCCAACAATATATTAAAACTAATAAATTAACTATAATATGTAAAAAGTTAAAAAAACATAACTTTATAAGTAGAAGTAAATATATTCTTTTAATATTGAAATTTAGTTTATATATGATTACACTTTAAGTTTGATTTTTATTTAATCTTATTAACCAACTTATAATCATTATTAGAAAGAAATTGAAAGGTGATGGGAGTTTCAAATGAATGTGGTGAAAGGAAAAATGCATGAGAGTTTCAAATGAATGTGGTGAAAGAAAAAATGTTTCCTTTATAATACAGTATGATATGATGATATGATATAGATATAGATATAGACTAGGCGAATATCCGCGCCTTGCGTGGAATAAAATTATTTAGTTAACCTTTTAGTAATCACATGTCATTGATAATATTTATGTCATTTAATTAACTAAAAAAATAATTTTTATTACATTTAGATATTTAGTTAATATAACATTATAATTAATTTGAACAATAGATAATATAACACTTACTAAAGTAGAATCATTTAATGGTATACGTGTGTATAAAATTACTTATATTTCTCATCTATTTTAATTAAATAATGTTATGATTTATTAACTTTAAAAAAATTGACGATGTTGTAATTTCATCCTGATGATTATTTTAATTATCAATCATTGTTTGTGATGTAACAGAATTTAATTTATAACTTTATTTTATTTGAACTATTATTATTATAAATTAATTTAAAAAAACTTATTTGAATTTCAGGTATTATAAAAATAGTTTTTGGATATCTTTTAGTTAATTTTACTTTCAGATTATGTTCTTTTATGTTTATTGTATTTAATATTTTCCTTTTAACTCTTGTAAAAAATATACATTGAGTTTTTTTAAAACTTTATTTGATATTTTACTTTAGGTTTTAAATTTTACACTTTATTTTTAAGTTTGTTTGATATATTAATTTGGGATATGCGTTTAACACTATATTGAAGTTATTGATAATTCAAGAAGTCTTTAATTTATCATAATATTTATAATTATTAACATATTTAAGTTAGAAAGTACATTATATGGAAATATGAAAAGTTGGAAGTTTCAAATTGATGTGGTGAAAGAAAAAATATTTCCTCTATAAGTATAGTATGATAGTATGATATAGATATAGATATAGATATATAGATATTAATATTCTGAGGATATTATTCGAAACTGGGTACTCTTTTTTCCAAACCTTGATTACAATATTTTGTTGATTAGTGGACTTGCCTAGAAGTTTAATGATTTTATTAAGTTCTTTCGTAATTTTTATTTTATTTTTGCAAATGCATTACATAAAATTTGAAATAATATTCTAAAATAAGTTTCATTGTGTTGGACTCGATCAATTTTTGATAAAATTACTTGGTGGTAACAAAACAACGAGTGAGAGGGAAAACGGGAACAAGCTGTGCTGCTAAACCTTTTTGTATGATAAAACCAATTCTTTTGAGTACTATATCTATCGACCTAAGGGACATAACATAGTTATGCATGATCCGTTGTACTCTATTAATATATTTGGATTTCAAGATTCGTGTTCGGGAAAGAAGTTGGCATAGCTAGGGTCAGGAATGGTCTCTATCTCCTACTAGTTGAACAACCACATAAGCCCTTAGGTTATTGTTCCATGTTACTTCTAATAACAAATGATGTTAACTAATGGCCTATAAAGCATCTTACAGCTTCTAACTAGTGATGTATGGTGACCATCTTGATTCAAGAATTAAAGTTTCTAGCTCAAGATGGATTGTTACATTCAATGAAGACTATATGTGTGCAGACCCGGCCCAATAGGGGGCAGGTTGTGTATTGACCCAGGGCCTCAAAATTGTCTAGGGCCCACTTTAGAAGTATGTTAATGTATATATAAAAGGCCCATATATGTTTTTTTTCTGAATTTCTAAGCCCAATTAACTGACATAAGAATAAAATCGAAAGAAAAAAGTGCTTGATTTCTCGCATTCCCATTGATTCGTTCAAGGCTAGAAGGCAAGTGACGATTCAGTTTAATGAAATTTTCCATTGAAACGTTACATCTCTCTCTCTCTCTCTCTCTCTCTCTCTCTCTCTCTCGAAGCAAAACAATCTTTAATCGATTTCTAAAAATAGCCTATTTTTCTGAAATCGATCCATCCTCTGATTTTTTTTGAAATTAAACATCGATTGCCCCTTCTTCGATCTGCACTCCATACTTTCGATCTCCGGCGTCGAATACTGCATCTTCTCCGATCAATTCTTGTTCCTAATTTCAGGTTTGGAATCCACTTTCTTTTTTCTGGTTCTGTACACTTCCATTACAACTGATGATTTGTTTAAATCGATTAAAACACTTGAATTTTAAGCCCATGAATTTCTTTGGAATTAACGAAGCTTATAATCTAATTTAGTGTTATAATTTGATTTTTTTGTTATAATAATAAGCACTAATCTTTGTATGAATTGTTGTGTGGTTTAACATTAAGCACTTAATGGTGATAATTTGGTTTGATTCATACCTATTAATCTAATAGGCATCTGAATTTGTGATAATCTGGTTTGATGTTAATGTTATCCACGAAACACTTATGCATCTTTTTGTGTGATTTATATTATTTGTATTTAAGCAGAAATTGAAGATTCTTTTTTTCTTATTGATTTCCATGATTCTATGAGTATAAACCCAATTCCAAAGTTCTTTTTTTTTCTTCTGATTTCTCTTATCAGCTAAAGTATTTTACTTCAATTTAATGTTTTTGATTTTTTTTTCATATCCGAATTTAAGTATTTTGCTATGTTTATGTAATAGAGTTCAAAGCATGTTCTTTTTATTTTGTTGTTTTATATTTATAGTTTTAGATTTTTTGGTTTTTGGGGCGTGTCCCAACTCTTTTTCCTTTCCATAAGTGCGGAGTCCCCAGCCTTCAATTGTATTAATTTTTTTATATTTAATAAAATTTACGGAGGTGCCGTCTTCTTTACCGAAAATAAAATTATATTTTATATCTATCGCAAGGGCCCCGGTTTTTTTCCCGGGCCTCAAATCGTCTTGGGACGGACCTTAATGCATGTTACTGTAACAAAACAAAACGTGCAATAAGAATGCTCAAAACAAAATCATATTTTCATAATCATTTGTACTATAAGAATGCAAAACATAGATTTCTATATATAAAATTAATGGGCAAATGTCATTCTAACCCAAGGAACTTGTTATGTTTGTTTTAAAAGGTCACTAAATTTTTTTTTTTTTTTTGTACATTAAGGGAATAAAGTCCGAATTTACTGTTTTAAAAGGTCCTTATTTAACTTGTTACCGGGTAATCGGGTAAAGTATGGTGATGTGTCTTGATAAATGGGATTAACACTTAAGAGGTTTGATATAGGCTTTACATTTTGTCGAACACCTTGTATGCATTATTTATCTCCCTCTCTTTTTTTCTAACATGTTTGTTAAATTTCCAAAAATTAATGCATGTGCATCCATCCTGTCTTCAGATATTCAATTCAACAAATAAAGGAAAATGAGATTAAGGAAAATGAGATCCGGTTTGATTTTGAATCTACTGTTCATAGTTAACCTTCGTCAGCCATATTCACCCTCCTAAGAACTTGCATACTACAGACCAGACCAACAACATTAATAAATAACGATCAAGAGAAGTTGGGAAGATGACAGAGAGGTAAAGAATCTAGACATGGCTAACTATTCGACGCTGCTTTCGCAGCTTAGTGAATCAGGTTCTTCAGCGGGATTTTTCACTTCAAGACATGTAACAAGGCGTTCAAGTAATTCCAAGCCCTCGACAACCATCGTGCCAACCACAGACAACCGAAATCATCTGAAGTGAATAAATGGCCGTCGCTGTCGAAGTCACAGATATGAGGAGGCACCATGACGGTGCTGATGATAAAGGTGATCGGCTAGATTTCAGTCAAAATCGACTCCAATAACCCAACGAACACAGATTTCAGTCAAAATCGACTCCAAAATTGCGTTCGACTTATGTATCCCAAAACTGATATCAACTATTAAACATTCATATCAACCATTAAACACTCATATCTTTAGTTTTTCGATTCGAACTCAAACAAATCAATTTCTCACGATGTTCGTTCATGAAGAATTAGAGAAGGATTTAATTACCATTGACAATTTTGAAGCTTTAAGGGCATTCCAGGTCAGAGTTCAGATGTTTGTTTTTGTCTGTTTATGTGTTCTTCAATCAATTTGTAGGACATCGATTGTGGCAGTGTGGTGTTGGATTTTTCCGAAGACGGTTCGATCGATTGCGGTACAGGGATGCGAAGTAGATACCGGTGGTCATTGGTTGTCGATGGAGATTTTCGGCAAGAAAAGACGGAGGTGGAATAGATGAGGGTGTCTTCGACGGGCTTTGAGGTTATGCTGTGTGGATTCGGTGTTTAGAGTAAAGACGAAGACGGAGGGATGAAGATGGGTTAATGCCTATGATCATGTTTAAGTTTTTTTTTTTTTTTTTTTTTTAATTTGTTTTAATTTATATTATTATTATAATTGAGTGACCTCTTATAAGGGGTTAAGGGACAATTTCAACGGGTCACATTCTACTTCCTTTAATGTACAAAAAAAAAAAAAAATTTTAGTGACTTTTTAAAACAAACCTGTAAGTTGGTTGGGTTTGCCCATAAATGAACAGATGAGGGATATTAGTACTGAACATTGATTCCTTTAGCTTAACCCATGCTGCTTGATGAGAAGAAATGCGATAGGTCAGCAGGGAAGCACAAACAGAGAAGACTAGAAATTACGTGGTAACTTTAGAAACATATTCCTAATGTTCTATCCCACAATTTTACACCAAAAGAAAACGATCACACTCATGTATATGTTTAAGGTGAAGTTTGCCTCCGGAGCCTAGTGAAACACAACTCTAGTCTTAGAAGAAACGAATTAATGATGACATTCAAGAACCCAAAATAGGCATGTCTCCATGAATGTTTGAGAATCAACAACCCACAAACACCCCAAAACCCAAAGGCAACACCAGCCACAACGCTAACAATGAATCCCTTATCTAACTTGTCATCATCGGATTCTTGTTCTGAAATATCTTGGTTTGTACTTCTTGGCTCATCACCAGGGCATACGTTCAGCAGCGGAACCCCACAAAGTTTAGAATTTCCAGCATATGACGACCCGTTGAAGCTCTGTAACTGCGTGCTCTTTGGGATTCTTCCCGACAAGTTGTTAAAGGACAAATCCAAGAACCCTAGATAGCTCAATTGTGCAAGGCTTGTAGGGATTCCTCCAACTAGGTCATTTCTCGATAAATCAAGAAAATCCAATTGACCCAAACGACCGATGTCTTGAGGTATTGATCCGGTTAACGAGTTTCTCGAAAGATTCAAAGCAATGAGACCCAAAAGACTCGTGATCTCACCTGGGATTTCGCCTGTTAGTCTATTGGAAGAAAGATCAACGCTAACGACCAGACGCAACGTATTTTGATACTCTGATTGCCTTCCTTTCCATTGCAGTAATACTTTAAACACAACCCTTGCTCTGACAGCTAGTCTTGTTCGTACCAACCCCACTGCATTGTACTCAAAACTTGATCGCAAGGTACCTCTATCCCGCATAGTCATCCCTGTAATATTATTGAGGCATTTGGGTATGTTCCCGGAGATATTGTTAACAGAGAGGTCCAAAATTTGAATCATCTCGAGCTTACATAAGCTTGTAGGAATGGCTCCATGAAACTGATTCGACTGTAAGCTAAGAACAAGCAGCAATGACAAGCTTTCCCCTAACCATTCTGGTATCTTCCCCGACAGTTGGTTTTCTCCAAGATCAAGAAGTAGCAACGAAGTGCAGTTTCTTAAAGATGGTGGCAGCTCCCCTGTCAAACTATTGCCTCGAATACTAATCATAGAAACAAACTCGAGGGCCCCCATCGATTCAGGCACTACCCCAATAAATCCATTGTCTTCAAGGTTGAGAATAGCCAGGTTATTAAGAGTGTTCCAGCACTCTGGAAGCTCTCCTGAGAGTTTGTTATTAGAAAGATCAAGAAGGCTTAAAGTAGTCAGGTTACACAAGGAAGAAATCGACCCGGATAACATGTTGTCATTGAGCTTTAGAGTAACGATGTCAAGAGGAAACAATGGTAAGTTACCCGAGAAGTTATTTGAGCTCATATCGATTATAGGTTGGTTACCGGATATAAAATCCAAATCCGGAATCAATCCTTGGATCTGGTTGGAGGAGAGATTTAAGTATCGAATACCCGGAATCAACGACTCCCAGAACCAACTGGGGACGGAATCATTGATTCCGGTGTTCGATATATCAAGCACGGAGAAATTCGTTTGAGTTCTTAGCCATCCCGGGAAAGAACTCCCGAGTTTGCAGGATGACAACGAGATGGTTTCGAGTTGAAAAGTTGCTGACCAATCGGAACCAATTTCTATAGCCAGGGAGTTATTCGACAAATCAATGTATCTCAAACGAGAAAGATTAGCTACATGCGTTTCAGATATAGTTCCTTGAAAGAAATTCGAAGATGCACCCAAAGACTCGAGCTTGGAGAGAGGCTCTAACTTTTCAGCTAGAGTTCCATTTAATAGGTTTCTCTCAAAATATAATTCCCGCAAAGAAGTGAAAACAGAAAGATTAGGGAGAAATCCATTGATACGGTTATCCGCCAAATCAAGGATGGAAAGATTCGAGATTTTTTCAAAATCTCGTGGGAAGGATCCGTTTAACTGATTTTGTCCAAGGTACAGTTCCTTGAGAGCTGTGAATGTTGTAAAATCAGGCAAAGAACCGCTTAGTTGATTCCCATATAAATCAAGAACTTGTAACGACATCTGTGGCAGGTTGCTGAAAAAACTAGGAAGATCTTGGTTGAGATTGTTCCCAGATAGGAAAAGTTCCCGTATGTTGCCCAAGTTTCCAAATGAAACCGGGATACCACCTTCGAGGCCATTGTTGGTCAAATCTAGGGTTTGAAGGTTTTTAAACGTACCAAATTCTTCAGGAATGATACCAAGGAGCTCGTTGTCTGAAAGATTGATGTCAGTAAGGCTGCTACTAAACTTGAATAACCAAGGGTATATCTCAGAGGCTGGAAGATAGTTAGAATTGATATCAAGAACTGCAAAAGAATTGGATAAGTTTGTCATGGAGGGAAAGAAAGATTTGGCAGTGTTATTCGGAAGCAAACAGTTTACAAGGCGTAAGTCTACAAGGGAGGGTAATCTGATCGCATTATTCAGTAAACCAAGTGAGTCACTGAGGTCTATATAACTTAGATTTAGGTACTTGAGAGAGGAAAGATGGGAAAGCCAATCTGTGTTCTTTAAAACAATTGATGTAGCTGAAAGATCAAGAGTTTGTAAGTTGGAGAGATTTCCTAATTGATAGGGAATTTCGGGTGAAGTTAACTCGATGTTAGAAAGTATGAGGTGTTGTAGTGTCTTGAGGGAACCAAGGAAGCTTGGGATACGAGTGAAACTGTTTCCACTCAAATCTAAATATGTCAAAGAATTTAATGAAAGCAATGAAGAACCGATTTCACCACTGAGACCAAGTAATTGATCAACTTCTTCTAACCAAACTGCAGGAAGATCAAGCCTAATGACTTGGCCTGTGTCGTTGCTGCATCCTACTCCTCTCCATAGACAGCAGTCTTGTGAAGTGTTGGTATTTCTCCATGACTTGAGAAGGGCGTAATCGTCCACAACCCCTTTTTTGAATTGCAAGAGTGCCATCCGGTCACGCTCTGAGCACCTTGTTTGGGCATAGTTTCTTCTTGGGATACAGGAAACAAGATAGATATTGCTGCATATGAGAATGAAAAGCAAATAAAGAGGAAGATTCATGAGTGATGATATTTGGTTTCAAGAAACCAAAACAAATTAATATGAATTTCTTGTACAAATACAGCTCGCAAATACTATGATATTATTTGTTGAGTTATGGGCAATATTCTTTTTTATATTATAATATTAAGATAGGATGATGGGAGACTATATACATAGTTGAATATGGAGATTTTAGACTTCCGAAATGTCAAAGGTAGCATAAAACAGATATGTCATCCCCTTCACAACGGCATTCTCATTTTATGATATTTTAATTACATAATTAACAATCATGCATACCCTTGGACATAATCCTAGTTGTTTGGATACCGAGCAATGAATCTACTCGATTAGGACATGTTGAATATGAAAAACTGCAATAGGCCAGCAAGGAAGCACAATTAAATATGAAGAACATAGGGATAAATAAGTCCATAAAGCTCCTGCAGTGTCAATTAATCATATGAAAAATGAAAAACTAATAAACAGGAAGATGCATGAGCGATAATATGGTTCCATGAAATTTGAAAGGAGCATGGAATTCTAATTCTTCTAATCTTTATTTTATTATTGAAATAATCTTATTATTTTTAGAGTTGACTATAGGCAATATTCTCTTTTAAATTATAAAATTAAGATAGAATTGACTAAGGAGATTCTTCGGTTCCAAAATATCAAAGGCGGCCTAAAACAAAAGGGTGATCTTCTTCATAAATACGACTCCCTTTTCAATCCACAAGATTGCTTCTTATCTAATATGAAATTTTTAATTAATATTTCTCGAGTTATGGGCGATATTCATTTTACATTAGAAAATTAAGATAGGATATGATGATGGCATCCATAGTTGACAATCGTGAGATTTTACAATTCCAAAATGTTAAGGGTAGCATAAAACAAATGTGCCGTACCCTTGGGTAGGGCTGTGCATGGGTCGGTTTTGAACCCAAACCCAACCCAACCCATAAGTGGTCAGTTTTTGGTTTTCAGAACCCAATAGGATCGGTTTCTGGTCGGTTTGGTTTCTCGGGTTCTCAGGTCGGTTTGGGCGGTTTTTCGGTTTCTTGGATTCAACCCATACATTCACGGGTCCTAGGTTTAAACCCATGAGTTTTCGGTTTTAACCCATTTTTCATAAATGAAGCAACAAGTTAAATACTTCAAAAAACACCAAATTTAAGTTAAATACTTCAAAAAACACCAAATTTAAGTTAAATACTTCAAAAAACATGAGTCTTACAACAAATAGTCTATTACAAGTTACAACCAAAGCCCGAAATAATCTATTACAACCAAAAAACAATCAAGTATGGGTCGGTTTCTTGGGTTGGATGGGTCGGTTTCTGGGGCGGTTTGTCAGTTTTAAGTATGGGTCGGTTTCTCGGGTTGGAGGGTCGGTTTCTAGGTAAAAACCGAAACCGAACCCGATTTTTCGTTTTTTAAAAAATTTAAACCCTAACCGTCGGTTTTGCTTCAGTTTTGGTTTCGTCGGTTTTAGTCGGTTTCTTGGTTTGGGTTTGCTCACCCCTACCCTTGGGCATACTTGTTAGGAATAATGTCTATTTCCTTATAGTCTTAATCACATAACAAGTATGGATACTACTGACTTCATCTTGTTAGTGCAGGTTTGTTGGGGACTAAAGTTGAACATTTTTGGAACTTGGCACTAAAGGTTGAGGGGCTGTTGGGTATTATTGTCAAAGTAAAGATGCAACTTTAAAATGATTGTATGTGATAGCTTGGATGCTTGTACGTGTGGAGCTTTAACTGGATGCACTAAAGGTTTGGGAACTTGTAGTATGATAACTGTATCCTCTTAAATGACACAGTTGTATTCATACATGTATAATGAGACGTATTGTATTCTTGTATGCTATATATAGATGGAAAGAATTATGTTTTCATTTTTACCTCACAATATACTCTCGAGATTATCTATATGATGTTATTTATGTTTTTTTATCTCCTAGAACTCTTAGTTAGGGTTTCGTGTTGTTGATCTTTGTTACGATAGAACAATATTGAGTGAAGAGTGTAGTGTAGGATCCGTATAGTGAGGTTTATCTTGTAAGTGGAATCTTTTTTTAATGAGAAGTTGATGTTAGTCTGACATTAAACCCTAAACAAAAAGATCTTAAAATCCAAAATAAACAAATTAAGTTAAGCAGAAATTGGAATTTGAGTAGTATTAATGTATTATATTTCCCTCTACGTAATGATTAGTAAGAACATTAACAATGTTCTTATTGTGGTTGGTCCTTCAATGGATGTGAATCTTGTTCTCGGGTACCTTAGGTATCATCGGAGTGACCCACAACCTGAGTTGTTCAATCATCAAGATCATGTGCTACCATGTTTTCAACAATGATGTCTCATGGTTTGCTCTTTGTATGACCGATGAAAATGTTTTGAAACTCTCTTGTGTCACCAAGCCTCGAAATGGATGCTTCCCCTTCAATCTTTATTTTTAAAAAATGGTCCCTTAAAGATGTTGATTTTGTTGATCATGGTCCCTTAAAGATTAAATTAATTTTATAGGATTTTTAAAACAACTTCCACGTGGATGCCATGTAGGATGGTTACCTGGTGAACATGATATAGTTTGATCTAATTGCTAAATGGTGACAAAATTATAATTAAAGAACTTAACTAACATGATTAGAACTTTAATAGAATTTTAGAACTTTCATGATAAAAAAAGTTAAAACTCTGTAAAGAAAATAACAAAATCAAAAGATAGGAATGAGTTGTAACATTGATAAAAGATTGAGGGCCGAAAGTCGCATACGATAGAAGAAAGAGCGAATAACGAAAAGAAAGGCGAGGAGAGCCACAAAACCCTAACAACAGCATCGTAGCCACTATCTGCCTCCATACATATTTAATCGAAGGGAAACCCAAAAAAAGCTTCAAATCAAATCATGGCGATGGCGAAGGCGAAATACGATCTGACACCTCGAATTGCTCCGAATCTCGACAGGCATCTGGTGTTTCCGCTGTTGGAATTCACTCAAGAACGTGAGCTTTACCCAAACGATCAAATCCTTAAAGCTAAGATCGAGCTTTGAACAACACTAATTTGGTTGATTACGCCATGGATATCCACAAGTCCCTTTACCATACCGAAGATTTTCCTCAAGGTAGTAAACTCTCTATTTACATATGATTTTTGTTACTATTTTTTCCGTTTTTTCAATTATCCATGTGTGAATACTGAATACCCGTGTTTGTAAAACCCTCGGTCGAGACAAAGAGAAGTGTTACAGTTTGATTTTCAGATGCTAAATGTAGTAGCTTCGAATGATAAAATGGATATGGATATTGCTTTAAATCTGTACCAATTTTATTAGGTTTTCAGTACTACACATAAAGTTTAATGTGTGTGAACAAAATATCCTGTGAAAATTTATAATGCGTATGTATAGATGTATATGTATATATGTAGTTGTTCTGAGGTTGTGAGTTCTTGTTATTAGATAAGGTGGACAGGAGAGTAGAGGTAGTGGCAAGATTGAAGTCTCTGGAGGAGGCAGTGGCTCCACTTGTAACATTTTTGCAAAATCCAAGTGCAGTGCAGGAGTTGAGGGCTGACAAGCAGTATAACCTTCAGATGCTCAATGATCGTTATCAGGTACATTGTTTTTACTTGATTTTCTCATGTTTTTTTACTAAGTGGAAACTGTATTTGTGATCTTATAGTAGATGAATTTATGTTTTGGGCTTTCTTATGACCATATCTCAGATAAAATTCTACACTATCTTGATTTCTTTCTCTTTGTTTTTTAGTAGTAGTTTTGCCAGCTTTAGGCACCTTTTAACCGGCAAGATTATGGCAATAGAATGTCCTTTGACCAATTCACAAAGCTAACAGAAGTATTATACTTTCCTGCCAACAAAACATGTGACAGATTTCAATTCCTTCAGTCATTTATTTTGGATTTTGAGGTCTTTTTGTTTAGGGTTTAATGCCAGACTAACATCATACTTTCCTTAATTTGTTTATTGTAGCATATGCTTCACGTTTCTTCCTATTACACCGGTATAAAATTGCTTTTATATCTGAACGATTAAGTTTTTAGATGTTTATGTGGGATTGGAATTAGCATCGACGATGATAATTAGACTTCGTCATCCTTGCACTTTGATTCATAATGAAGAAAACAATGGGGAAAGTATTTCTGAGATGTTTTTTCTTCTTCTACATTTACGTTGCCAAATATATATCAATTTCTTTACTTGTTTATTAAAACTGATCTTTTTTTGGATGACTTTAGAGTTTAGAATTTAGAAGAAGAAGACGTGTGGCCCATTCTGGCCCATTACGGCCTGTAAATGCGTTGTTTTTCCATTAGAGTTCATAGTCCCCGTATGATGGTGATGTTGCTGCTGTTATAAGTATACACCTTGCGTTTTAAATCTATCATAAAAAAAATCACCAGGATCCGTTCTTAAGTCGATCGTATGCTACTTGATGTTGATCTCAATCTGTCCTGTTTTCTTTACCTGTCTTTCATTTTGTTACAAATTTTTTAAATGTTATGTTGATTAATTATTCAAGTGCTGGATCGATGATGCTTATGAAGAAACTGCGTTATCTATCTGTAAATTCCTTAATCGGATCTGATGATAGTTTAAACTTCCTGAGATCCTTCATTTATATAATATCTATCACGTATTTTATTTCCCTCTACGTAATGATTAGTTGATTTTCCTCAGATCCATTTTGTGTTTTTATACGAGTTGTATTTACGATTCTTCTATATCCTGGTTTAATTAGATTGCTTTTATATCTGAACGATTTAGTTTTTAGATGTTTATGTGGGATTGGAATTAGCATCGATGATGATAATCAGACTTCGTCATCCTTGCACTTTGATTCATAATGAAGAAAACAACGGGGAAAGTATTTCTGAGATGCTTTTTCTTCTATATTTATGTTGCCAAATATATATCAATTTCTTTACTTGTTTATTAAAACCGATCTGTTTTTGGATGACTTTAGAGTCTAGAATTAAGAAGAAGACGACGTGCCGCCCATTCTGCCCATTACAGCCTGTAAATGCGTTGTTTTTCCATTAGGGTTCATAGTCCCCGTATCGTGGTGATGTTGCTGCCGTTATAAGTATACACCTTGCGTTTTAAATCTTTCATAAAAAAATCATCAGTATCCGCGGATACCCGAACCGGAACCGGAAAAAACCGTAACCGAAAAAAACCGAAACCGAAAAGAACCGGCTCTCTACGGGTCGATTTTGGTTTTGACAGTTAGGTATCCGCGGATACCCGAACCGAACCGTTATATATATATATATATATATATATATATATATATATATATATATATATATATCCTCCTTATTCTAATAAATGAATAGATTTTTTTTCCTATTGACAAGTGGTATAATATTAGTACACCTCATTAATATAATATGTCACCTATCATGTCACTTGTCAACCTATTAATTATTCATTTTAAATTTTAAATTTCTCACTCTAATTTCATTAAATTAATAATTGAATAATTTATTCTCTATTTTAAATTTCAAATTTTAAAAATTTTCACTTTAATTATATTAAATTAATAACATTAGATTAAAAATAAAATAAAACTAATATAGATGATAAGGTGATATAATTTCACGTATTTATTTAAATCAATGATTATAATTTTATATAACTAAAAAAATATATATATCTTAAGCAATAATTTATTTAAAATAATTGATTAATAATTTTGATTTTTTAATATGAAAGTTTAATTTTATAACTGTGGTTTTCACAAGTTATAAACTAATATATATATATATATATATATATATATATATATATATATATATATATACTATTCATCCGCATTGTTTCAAATGATCTATAACCACTAGGCATGATACGATCCAATTAAAATTCAAGTTGACAATTTCTAGATATACAGTTCCACATTCTATCTTGTTTTCGTTTTAATTTTATTATTATAGTTACTATATCAATTATATCGTATGATATTTGAACTTTATATGTTCTTTTTGACTTCGTGAGTTACTAATTTTAAGAAAGAAATGGACCGAAATAGAGTTTGCAGTTTTGATTGAGTTTGATTTTTTTTAGCGGGTATCCGTAAACCGAACCGTGGTTACCCGTCTTCACACGGTTCGGTTCGGTTCGGTTTTTAGGCCAATTCGGTTCGGTTTCGGTTAGTGTACATGAGATACCCGTCCCGTGGTCACGATTCATAATTTTATTACTATCCGAACCAAATCGCCCCATGAACACCCATAATCAAAACTTTATTATTCCAAACTTGGTGAAGTTTATATATATATATATATATATATATATATATATATATATATATATATATATATATATATAAGATCAAATGTGAACCATAAAAGATTAAAAATCGTAAAAACAATTCATTTTTAATTTATGTTTAAGATATTTTTTATTTTTTTAAGATTTTGATTTATTTAAGCTTTTTATAAATAGAAAAAAAACAATAAGGTTACAATGATCTTTGTGTAAAACTCATTTCATAACTTTTAATCAGATAACAATCTTTCATAATTAACCAAGAAAAACAACTATCTCATCTCCTTTAACCACCTTTGATGAACACCAGCCACCACCGCCAACGACGACCTCACCACCGCCATCACCGCCAGCGACGAATTTCAGATCTGGAACCGTCGTTACCTCTTCCCCGTCAAAGATGTACAAGCTCCAGTCGATTTTAGATGTGTGATTTCTGGCTCAAATTTACAATATTCGCCTCTAGATCTACAATTTTCTACTGCAGATCTATGAAGTTACGGTCAGGACTACAACCATCTCCTTCTAGATCTGCTTCGTCTCCACTTTCTTTCAGATCTATGGTTCATGCTTTGTTGATTGTTTTTTGGTGGCCGACTTCACCAAAACAACTCTAAGATCTAAAGCCAAAGAATTTGTTTTGAGGTCAGATCTGAAGAGAAAATTTGAAAACTTGTTTTCACTTGGTGGCTGGTGGTGGTTCCTCTGTCGACAACATCACCATTACCTACTCATCCGACGACTTCTACTACCGTCATCTAATTCATCGACATAAAAATCGCCACCACCTTTTCTGATCTATCACCAGATATGTTCAGATCTCAATAGATCTACTTGAGATCTACATCGGATATCACCTGATCTACATCAAATTTGGATCTGAAAACCACCAACACAAATCAGATATCGATCTAGAAATCACCACCACGAACCACCAGTAAACTGATGTCGTCGAGGATATGAAACCGACCACTGTTGCCTACCACTGCATGCTCTATCGTCGCTAGATCTGGATTTGAGGTCGGCTACCAATGAAAATGAGGTATGTTTTGAACCTGTTATGAATGAAAGTCCTAAATTCTTATATTAAATTGGGAATGATAGCCTTGAAATGCTCTATTAAAATGTGATTTAGTATGGTGCGTAAAAGGTGTTTGATGAAATGATTCAACAAATCAAGTAAGTTGTAAATACTATAAATGAGAGTCTGAATTGTTTTATTAAACAGTGAATGTGATTCCTGCAACTTTTTATCTTTCTCTCTAATATAATGTGATATTATTGAAGCTTGAAATGCTAAACTATTGTTAATATAATAAAAGGCTGCAACAATGCTTTATCCTACTAATGTAACTAATATAATACAAGTGCCTGTGTCCTCCCCTGGTATGTGATGTGGAAAATGATTACGCACTAGTTTTATCCTACTAATGTAACTAATTTCTATCTAAGGCAGTCTACCTTGTTGTAAATAATATAGCTCAATAGACAAGTATCGAACACAGGGAACAATATTATTAGCTAATTCTTACCTACTACTAACTAAATTACTAAGAAATTTAGAAAAAATGTTTTTTCTCTAGTTTTGCAAGACTTGAAACTTAGTTAACTAAGCTAAACTAACAATTAACTAAAGCAATTATCAAACTAAAGCAAGAAACAATAAGAAACAATTTAAACCAAGGTATTTGAGAGACTTTGGTTTAGCTTTAATTTACTTGCAATTATGGTTGATTTATGGAAGTGCAATGGATTAATGTTCAATTGGTTACTGATGCCTAAGATGACCAAGTTAATATTCACCAACTTAATCCTTTAGCAAACAAGTTCATTCATACGATGATCAGACTGATAAACTAACGAGCTTACTAGTGTTTGGTTCGAGTTAAATTAGACTTATAATAGATTGATCTAATCGGTTAATTGATTCAATTCAATATATGATAGGTCATCGTATATTAGCTCCCACAATTATTTACCCACTTTTCTATCTAACCCCAGGTTTTTGTCAACACTCTAGTCCTACAATTTTTGTAATCCACAAAGATCATAAGATTCAAGTTCAATTAAGAAACATAGTTATGCAAACTTAATTAAACTCGGCAATAAATAGATAAATCAGTTATCATAATCATAGAAGGTTCTTTAATAAGATAAATCAACAAATAACCAATAAAAACTTAATCCAACCATAAATCAAACAATAGATAGTCAAGCAAATCTACACCAAACGAAATTCATAGGGTTTTAGCCTATGATTTCAGCAACTAAAGTCAGAAAAACGAATTTCATATGCGTAGACATGATTAAACTAAAATAGAAAGTCGTAATTAAGAGTTTTATTGCCTTAATGCTCTCAATTCCCAAGCTTCAATCCAGATCCTTGGCCTTCAAAAATCGTCAATAACTCCCAACAAAAGTTCCCAATTCGGAGAATAATGGAAAGTATTTATAGATTCCCGAAAAGCAGATCACCACGACGTGGTAAGGCCACCACGTCGTGTTTTCATTGTTATCCCGTATTCGGCAAGTCTTCAAATTCAACCGGGAAAGGTCAAAACACCACGTCGTGGGGAAGTCACCACGACGCGTTGAGTGCATTTTTCTTTATTTAATACTCTTCATTCAAATTCCTTGGCTTCCAGCTTCCAGCTTCCTTTCTGCTCCAAGCATATCTTTTATCCCTACAACACAATACATAACAAATTAAATACCTTTTGTTCTATAAATGGCATAAAGTAATTAAAAATACTAAGATGTGATGTACAATTATATGTATAGATATGCACATATCAGTATGCATAAGAGTCCTAAAATGATTTATTAGTTTGTGAATTAAAGTCTTGAGATGTAAGTTTTAAATTGAGAATATGGTTGCAAATATATCACTTTTTATATCAAACTATGAATTTATTGTATTAAGTTGTGAATTTTGTGTATTAAACTGTGAATCGACTGTTTTAAGCATTGAATTTTATATATTAAAATATGAATTAATTGTATTAAACTGTGAATTGGTTTTATTAAACTGTGAATTGACTGTATTAAGTTGTGAACTGGTTGTATTAAGCTATAAATTTTTTATCAATTTTTTGTTTGTTTATGAAATATGAGATGAAATAAGCTTTATACACATGTGATTTTATCTGATTTGATTAAAGTATGTAATATTTTAACTGTTAATATTTATGTAAATAAAATTTAAAAAGACACTAGTGTATATAGATCTGAAAGTATAAATGTAAGTCTTAAGTTGAAAATAAGGTTGTGACTATATATTTTATGTGTATTAAATAGTGAATATATTATATTAAGTTGTGATTTTTGTGTTATAAATTGTGAATTGACTGTTTTAAGCTGTAAATTAAAAATAATAAGTTGTGAATTTTCTTATGAATTTTGTGTTAAAATATGATTCATTTATGTATGGATATTTGTATTAATTTTTTTGTGAATATATTTATTTTTGTGTTGATAAATTTGTAAGAATATATTAGTTTTATAATTATTTTGCATTACACTCTTGATTAGTAAATTAATTGGTTTATTAAACTGTGAATATAATATTTAATATATTGATCCATGATTTTATATACAGATATGATTTGGAAGGAATGATGGTTACGAAAGTGATACATGTAGTTTATGACGATGTGTGGTCATTGATGGTGGTGGTAGAGTTTAGGTTTGACTTATTTGAATATGTGAATTAGTGTATAATGGATTGTATTATGTTGTGAATTTTATATATTAAACTAAAAATGGATTGTATTAAATTGTATATATTATATAAATTTTATGTTAAATTATGAATGTATGTATGCATAAATATATTAATATGGGTATTAATAAATTAATCTATCTATTAAACTGTGCATATGGTAATTTAAACAGTGAATATGTCTTATAAACCATACGTTTTTTTAATAAACCTACAATTTAAAAGAGAGAAAATTGAATTTGTCAAGACAATTTTTTTATTATTAAATTTTCTATATTTTGCTGCAAAAATGAAATGGTTTGTGTTAAAAAGTATTACCAAAGAAATGGAAGCTACAATATTTGTTCTATTAAATTGTGAATACGACTAGAAAAATGCCACTGAATTTGGTGTTAGTCCGGCTGTGGTCCGAAGACAGTCCGACATCGGTTCGATGATGGTACGACGACAAGTGGAAACTAGTTGAATGAAAAGGTTTGATTAATACAATATAAATGTTGGATTTCTCCAAAATGTTCTTAATGAAAATATTTGAAAAAAAATTGTTCTTTGGTTCTGAACTTTTTTGGGTTTTTATTTGAACAAATATATATATATATATATATATATATATATATATATATATATATATATATATATATATATATGAATAATTGTGGACCAATCATTTTAAATTTAATTCATTTCATTTGAAATTTAATTAATAGATAAGTGTAGAAATTTAATTATGTATATTCATTAAATAATATCTTTAATTATAATCCCAGTTTTTTTATGGAAAAACTTAAATTCAAATGAAAAAAAATCCAAATTTTAATCTTTATATATATGATCCCTTAATCAGTTATGAAGAGAGACATCGTTTCATGCCTCTTGCTGATCTCGTCTTCAACGACTATTTTTGCACCTCACCTCGACAACAGGTTTTTTCCCCAAAATTTTTGTGAGCCGATCACCATTATCATCTTCATCTCTCTGTTCTCTTTTCAATTGAGATTTCCATGGATTAACATCAGTATCTTAAACGATTTCTCTCCTTTTCACGAACCAGGTATGATCTTCGATTAGGGTTCTTATTATATCAATTGGGGGTTCGAATTTCTTCCTGGGTCTAGCAAATTTTCGCCATAAGTTCTTATTTTTTGTTGTTGGACTATTCAGAGGGATCCAAGTTGATTGGGTTCAAATTGTTTTTAGGTTATAAGAGAAGATCTTTAATCTAAAGATAGAGGGAGGTGTTGTGGTGTCATCAGATAAGCAAAGTGCATACGCCATATTCTTAATATGAGGTAATACCTTTTTTTTTCTTTTTTTTTTTCTAAACCTAATAGATGCCATTTTGGTAGAGTTAGTTAAATAATTAGATATTATAGTTATATAAGAGTAGTTCTATTGTTATGTGTATTCCATACGTGGTTAGTAATAATTTCAATTCGATTTTATGAAAAACTATTAATGCATCAAGAGAAAAATGATTTTATTTGGATGATTGGCTCCTCTATATCATACAAAATTAATATGTCGAATACTCACGATACACTTACTTCTTTGAACTTTGTAGCATAATGTCTCCATAAAGTAGGAGTTTCAATAAGTTATTTTATGTATATTAAACAAGGAAGTGGGTTGTGTTTTTTTTTTTTTTGAGTTTAATGGTTGTGACTTTCATTTCATTAAATAAGTTTGTTGGTTGTGGAGTATACTTACATAACTTGTTATGTGCCATCGAGAAAGTTATCGTGACAAATAAATAAAATTATTTTTTAATCCATATTCAATTATTCTTGACCAATGAACAAATCTTGAATTGTGATGAAAGATGTATAAATTACCTTAAGAATATGATTACAAGAAAAGGCTTATTTATATGAACATATAGTCAGCTAGTCATTTGAAGCTTAAAAAGTGAATTCTTACTATTCAGTTTCATGTATGTTTATAGAATTTTGATTCTTACTATTTAGTTTCATGTATGTTAATAGAATTTTGATTTTTACTATTCAGTTTCATCTAATATGAGGTTTTTGGTTCTTGGTTTGCAATATATTTTTAGTTCATTAATTTGAGGTTTTTGGTTCATCTATGTTTATTATGGTTTCTGATTCTTATGTTTTTGAAATTTAATGGCTAAAAATGTGTTACTTTTACGTTTTTAACAAATGTTAGTTGCATATTCTGTTAGAATATACATAAAATCAATCTCAAAAAGTATGTTGATCTTGGAAATTTGTCAATTATACCAAAATTATTCTTTCAGAATGAACAATTTGTATTGTTTGTTAGATTTATAAAATTCTGAAAGAATTGAAGTTGATAAAATTCTTGTAGTAATACACTGCTTAAATAGTTTTTTTATGGGTTTAGGTTTTGAAGGGGTTGTCATTGATATGAAATCAAGTTCAAGAACATACAAACACATACAAGAGAAAGGACTTAGAATCGAGTTCAAGAACAAGTACATTCTACCAAGAATTACATTCTTACGATAATACATCACATTTTCGTAAGAATAGTTGAAAAAAGTCGATTATTTGGACCATTGAAGAAGATCAAGTGTATTTGTTCAAATATTGTATATTTAAGAATGCTATTTGTTAAGAATTTTATTCATTTTTTATGACATTCTGGTAGAATATGTATAATTATATTAAAATGTATAAGGCTTTTATTCTGTAAGAATATATATGAATTTGTATTTAAGTTTGAATGTCTATAAATAATATAACAATGTTGTTATTATTCAACTGGGGTTCAGTAATTTTGTTATTCTTCAATAACATTCTGACAGAACATTTTAATAGAACATCATTCTAACAAAATAACATTCTGACGGAATAAAATCAGTTATGGTTATAAAATACATTAGAATTGAACTTAAATTAATTTTTAAAAAATCAAAATTTTTAAATCAAGAGAATTAATTATCCCTTAAAATATGGAATTTTCCTTTTTAAATTTATCTTCATTGACTAAAACATCATTAGAATTAAATCAGATGGTGTTTTTCTATTATCTTTAATTCAATAATAATTATTAATCACTTTATTAGAATAACTAAAATGATTGGTCCACAATCAATCCTACATCCACAAAATAGATAGTTAGAATACAATAACCTAACCCTATATATATATATATATATATATATATATATATATATATATATATATATATATATAGAGAGAGAGAGAGAGAGAGAGAGAGAGAGAGGAACGATCAGTTGAGAACTTATAGTTTCCCGAGAATCCGAGAACTAACTTTAGACCATTAGATCAAAAAAATGGAGGACTGAGATTTTTTATGGCAGTTTTGTAAATAACTTGAAACAAGTGGCATGGGGGTATCTATGCTTTTTGACCCAGGGGTGTTATTGACATTAAAATATGAGATAAATTCATCCCTAAAAGCTAATCTAAGAATAACGTCGAATCTCTTTCTCTCTTTCCATAACCAATGTCGCACCTGTATATCGTCGATGATCACTCATCTTCTTCCTCTATCGTGTCTTTTAAGCGAGACTAAATTCCGGCGGAATCGGCAGTGAATCCACGAGCCAAGAGATTGACGTCATTCATTTTTGGGTTCGATTGCGATAGTAGATCGTCGAAGACCTAAATCGTTCGATGGTGGATCTTTTGATAGAAAACGTAGGTTACAAAAAAAAATATGCACTAAGCGGAAAACATTTAACAATTTAATGATTAGGGCACATGCAACCTATGAAGGATCTATGTCTTTCACGTAAAGGAAACATACTATGAACTATCGAAACTTCTTGTCTAAATCTGAATTCATAAGATGAAATACATACATTATTGATTGTGTAAGCAAACAATCAAGAAACCCTTTACTTGATCTTTTGGAAGCAAGCACCACAAGCGTCGTGCCTCTAGTGGTTCACACCCAACACAAGCAAGAAGGATATTAAGGAGAGAGGGGGAAGAAGATCAAAATTTCGGCCTAACTCTCTAAGGTATCATTGGCCGAAAATCATAGCCCTAGGGGCCTTTATATAGTGCAGTCATGAATGAAGAGTGTTTGAATCGAGTTTAGAAAACGAAATCAATAACAGAAAGCATTAAGAACAAAATCATAAATAATATCTGTTTTTCTCATTAATATTCTGAATGAGTACAAAAGTTCTAGAGAGAGAATGAGAACGAATTGCCCAAAATCTCCTCTCTACTTCTATACTAACTCTATATATATCGAGTGATACAGACTCACAAAAAGTATGCAAGGACTAGATGTTCGACATCGACACAAACAATATGCCTTACAAAATACATACACAACAAAGTACTAGACTTCGCACCTATACAGACCAAAAGACTTTCGACCTCTCACTGGACATTTCGTACTCAACAATCTCCCCCTTAGTGAGAAGTGTTGAAATCACGTCATCAGCTTCATCGTCTGGAGAAGTACTCTGCGAATCTCCATATACCACAGAATAGTCTTTCGAATTTCAGCCTTGTCTTCTGCACTATTCTTTTTGCAATTATTGATTCGTACAAGCAGGCTTGTATACTGGACATTCGTGTGCCTCTCAACATCAGCAACTTGGAACAAAAACTTTTTCATTCTCTGGTTCTTGTTCTTGCCAAGAAACACTACCCCCAGAGGCTTATGAACAATCTTCCTATCTTCATATTTATCAATATTAATCTTCTCGACGAGTTGGAGGCCCCAGACTCGTCGAGTAGGAACGAATGATTGGATGTGAGATTTGAAGTCTACTCGACGAGTCGAGAGGCCTCACTCGACGAGTAGGGATGTCAGGGTGAAACCCTAATTTTCAAGGTTTTCACCCTATTTAAACGCCTCAACTGGCCTCAACTACAACCTCCATCACCTCCAAGCCTTATTCACGAAACCCTAATCCATTTTGAGTGTTCTTGAGCCTTTGTTGTGTGTTCTTGGTGATTTGAACCTTGAGAATGAAGAGGAAAGCTTGGGGATTCAAGAGGAGGCAAGTATATCCAGAGTTTGTGCTGCATTTCCAGCTCATTTGAGGTATAAATTCTATACCTTGACTATTCCTTTACTAGATCTCTTCATGGGGTAGTTTAGGGTCTTTTCGAGTGTAATATGGCACCATTCATGGATGCAAGCATGTTTTGGGGTAATAACTTCAGATCCAGAGTCTTTGAGGGACTCTATGGCATAAACGTGCCAACTTTATAGCCAGGGGAGTCCCATGCATCATATGAACCAGTTTTTAGGGCTATTTGAGCTAAATAGCCCATGCATGAACGTAAAGTTTGTAACTTTACGTGTTATATAGACCCTAGGAGGCCAAATCTATGTTTTGGATGCATTAAGCCCAACTAAAATCGACTGTATGGAATTAGACTTTGGGGGACTCGACGAGTCGTTCATAGGACTCGACGAGTTGGGTCGTGGTTCCCTAACCTTTTCTGTTACTGAACAAACTTGTTGAGTCTGGAAGAGGACTCGGCTAGTTGGACATGTTTATGGACTTAAGGATCAAAGAACTCGACGAATCCAAGGATGAACTCGACGAGTTGAGAGCAAAATGTCCCAGCTGATATGAAGAGTAACTCGACGAGTTCCAGGATGAACTCGGCGAGTTGTGAGTGAAATACCCCGACTCTGTATGAAGGAGAACTCGAGGAGTCCAAGGAAGGACTCGACGAGTTCAAACGAAAAAGTCCCGATTCTGTCATAAGGAAGAACTCGGCGAGTTAGAGGGTAACTCGACGAGTTAGATCGCGAGTTCGAGATTCTATGAATCATGGAACTTGACGAGTTGATGAACCAACTCAGCGAGTTGAGTCAACCAGAGGATGACTTTGACCAAAGGTTGACTTTAACTTTGACTTCGACCAGGGTGTTGACTTGATTTTGACTTTGACCAGAGATGATACTTATAGGGTTTATGGGTATGAGAGGGTAATTAAAGGAGATTGTTATTTGTAGGAGTTTGAGAGGAGTTGATCCCAGCACCGAGGACAGTTTACCTACTTCACGACATTGAGGTGAGTTACCTTCCAGTAGGAGTGGGTCTGTGACACCAATGTCGGCCCACTACTAGGTAATTATAGATGAGATGATTGTCTTTGTGATAATTGTCTGGTATGCCACTATCTGATATGCTTTATGTGCTAGTATGCTATGTTATTATGTGGTAGTGGTAGGGGGTGAAATAGTCCCCGGTTACCGGTTGAAAGAGACCGGAGGGGAGACCAACACCCATATATGCTAGACAGTTACCGGTTGAAAGAGACCGAAGGGGACGCCAACACCCAGATATGCTAGGCAGTTACCGGTTGAAAGAGACCCAAGGGGAGGCCGTCACCCAGATATGTTAGGCGTTATGTGATTATATGGTATGTGGTATGATGGGGGAACTCACTAAGCTTTGTGCTTACAGTTTTCAGTTTTTGTTTCAGGTCCTTCTTCTTCGAAGGGAAAGGAGCCGGTACGGTAGCAACGCATCACACACATGATTTTCCGCACATGAGATTCTTGGGATTTGTACTCTGATGCGGGATGTATCCTGGTACGTCGAGAGATGCCTGACCTGCAGGAAGATTAAGGCGGAGCACCAGAGGCCTCACGGAAAGATGCAGCCATTGGATATCCCTATGTGGTAGTGGGAGGACATTACTATGGATTTCATCACGAAGCTTCCCAGGACCGCACGGGGAGTGAATTTGATTTGGGTCATCGTGGATCGATTGACCAAGAGTGCCCATTTCATTCAGATCCAGGAGAGCATCTCGGTCGATAAGCTGGTCGAAATCTACATCAGAGAGGTAGTAGCTCGACACGGAGTGCTAGTTTCCGTGATTTCAGATAGAGATGTACGATTCACTTCCAGATTCTGGAAGAAGTTTCACGACGAGTTGGGTACTCGTCTGCACTTTAACATGAGATTCTTGGTATTTGTACTCTGACATTATTACTATTTCATGATATGGTTTTGAGACATGTGATATGTGGTTTTAATGAAATGAATTAACTTGATGATGTTTTCTTATAAACTGCTTTATGAATCATTATATCAAAAATGAAATTTTTGGTCTTGAGTTTTTGTATGTTACACACAAACTACATTATTCGCTATTACAACAACATAGCAAAATTTTTGTAGAATGCCTTTGAACAAGCTTTCCCGAGAAATTGACATCAGTTTAATGATCTTAGCACAAGACCAAATCTCCTCTTTGCTTTTCCCTAAGACCGCATGAAATCTTATCTTTAGTCTTTTATATTCATCTTTGTCGTTGAAGCGATTAACCAACTTGTACTGAGAATAAATGTAGGTCATATGATTGATAGGGATATCGAGTTGGTTAAAGTCATAGTTTTCAACATCATAACTTTTCTTTGGAACCCTGCGAAAATCATCCATCTTTGCTAATGAAACAACTTGCTCAGTAGTTTCATAGCACCTATGTTTGTTGGGATCACCCTTGTTCAAACCTAGTGGACCATTCTGTCTTTGCATCAGAATACTATTGATCTGCCTTTGTCTTTCTATTTTCATATCTAATTTCTTCTTTTTCTCTTCTTCAGTAAGAGTCACCTCAACACCTTTCCCTTTATCTCCTTGATTGTCTTTCGAAGGAGGTGGCTTAGAGCTTGACCCAGAGCCTCCAACACTTTCGCTAATGACAATCCCTTTTGTTATAGGTCTTGATGTTGT